AGGGGGAGGAGGGGAGGCGCGGGGGAGAAATTGCCCTCAGTGGCTAAACTTACTCGCAGTTGACGTAAAGCAGAAAACGCCAAGGGGCGAGGCCAGGGATGGTTGCGGGGTCGGGGATGGCAGTGCCGCAGTGTCGGCGCGAGAGAGGAATGGAGGAGGGGGCGGGGGGAGGCGGCCGCACGCACCGCCTGGAAAGAAGTCAGTTGAAAATTGTGTTAATTTTTTAGCGTGGCCTGGTTCTCCCGGCTGAGTAGTGGCAAATGAACTTTGCATAGTTATTTCGCTTGGTTTCCCTTGTGGTTTTCTTTGACGGCAGACTCTGCCAAAGACAGTGTGTATGCAACTGATCAGCATTCTGATGTATTTGGAGCTGTACGGAAAGTGTCGTTGTTTTTATTAGATTATTTATTTTAGTGAATCCCGGGGCCGTAAGTAAATTGTAGAATGGACACAAAAATAGCACAACATGTATATGCAACACGTATATTTCTCATATACTCTGTCTGCGTGCATTCCACTACTGGTTCCGTTTTTTGTGTGCTTCCGGTTTACTTCTCAATTCCGGCTCTGGGATTCGCTGAAATATCCTATTGTTTTTAATCAAGCGTTGTGTTAGGAAGTGAAAGGTTGGATCGTCCGCGAGACAGGTTTTCAAAAACGTTACCTCCTCTGTTTGTGTGCACAGACACGATCTACACGGAACGGTACATGGGCTTGCCCACCGCTGAGGACAACCTGGGCGGCTACAACGGCACGGACGTGACGCGCAACGTCGCCAACTTCGCCAAAAAGAAGTACCTGCTGATTCACGGCAACGCAGACGACAACGTACACTACCAGCAGTCCATGGAGCTGTCGCGGGCGCTGGAGAACGCCGTCATCATGTTCCAGCAGCAGGTGAGCATCCCGCACACCCACTCATGGGCCATTGGCATTGGGTGGGAGACAGAGGAGACGACTATCCACTGGGCGGAATCACTCTGCATGGTGTGAGGTTGTAGCCGAAAAATTTAACGGGAAGCTTTGCGCCCTTGTCGAGGGGACTGTCTGTTATGTAGAGTATAGTGTATTTCGACTAACAGGGGAAGAAGAATACCGGGTAGAATATAAATGTTCCTGATTGGCCGAGCGCCTACCCCCACTAACGGCGTGACGTAGAGGCGGGAAGCTCTCGACCAATCGGTAACGTTTATGCTCTACCCACTATTCTTCTTCCTATGTTAGTCGAAATACACTATCCCGGCGGAAGATTTAGAGAAGACTCATGGGAATAACATAACCCTACTGCGCATGCGCAAGCTATGGTGGGGGGCGGCTCGGCCGGCCCGGTGTCGCCTCCCACCAAATCTGCCGCCGGGATACTCTACTTACTATGTTCCCTCCGTAGCTATCGCTGACTTGACCAGCGTTTCGCGTCTGGCGTTGTTCTCGCCCAGTACGAAAGCCGGCCTGATGCACTCTTTTCCCCTTTTAGACAGTCCCCAAGACTGTCTCTACCAGAGGGTGCAAAAGGCAAATTCCCACCCCCCACCCCCCCCACCCTGCCCCTCCCCGCCATAGCACAGGGCGGGCGAAGGCACGCCAGGTCCGGACGGCGCGAGGATCGTCTTAAACGCCTACTTTAGATGTACGAAAAACTGAAAATGGGGATTAAATCTATGGCACCGTCTCTTTCTTAGTCCTGCGGGCTATTTTTTTGTTCGCAAGAGGTTGGCTTGCAGGGCCCCGGGCCACATTCTGTGCACAGATGGTGTCGACCATGGGCACACACTGAGCGGGGCGCAGCGGGGTCCATGTGTTTCGATGGCATACTGCTCGCTTTGAGCAAGCAGATGCTGCAGCCTCATGAGCCCAAGATGAATCAAAATATGCCGCTGGCCGCATTATTTTTATTTCCCCCCCCCCCCCACACACACACACACCGGACGCTGTTTGAACCGGGGCGGTCTAGGCCGTTTTAATAAGCTCCATAACGCGTATGATGGCAAAGTAAAGGGAAGGCTGTTGCTTCAAGTTGAGCGCGTCGAAATGCGATGCAAAGTTATGCAACGAGCACTGGCGAGGGCACTGAGAGCCCCGTCCCGCCCTTTTCCCTTCCCCTTCCCGGCCCCCTCCTCGTCCCCGTCCCGCACGGGGCAGGACACCAGCGTGTTGGCGCAGGGAGTTAGGCCAGAGAAAATAAATACACATGCGGGAGCGGGAGCCGGACTGGTGTTTGAACCTGCGCTCGTGCGGTCTCTTTACGTGTGTCGCCGGCGAGGTCGTCGGAGGAGCGGGGTCATGGGGAAGCGGGGGAGAAGGCGGGGGCTCGCACCAGGGGTAAGCGCTTCCTGCGGGCGGGGCCGGCCAGGCCGGGCCGGGGCCGCCCCCGTGGAGGATATAAATTTACTGTACCCGGCACAAACGGGGTGAGGGGGTTGAGGGGTTAGGGGTGGGACGGCGGAGGGGACAAGAGCGGGGTCAGAAAGAGTTCTCGCCTCGGCCGCGCCCGCACGAACACGCCTGCCCGCCCCGCCCGCGGCCTCGCCCGCGCTAACAGCTTTTGCAATACAACACGTATCTTGCGGGCGGGGAGCGGCTAGGGGGAGGCTCGCCGCAGCCAGCGGGTCTCTTTTCCACTACTACTATACTGACGGCACCACAACGCGTCGCAACAACCCACACGCACGCAGGCACGCACACGCGCGCGGCAGGATACAGATACCCATCAACGATCTTCGCTCCGAGCCTCCCCTCCCTCCTCCCTCACCGGCAACAGCCCCACCGCAGCCTCATCCGCACTTTACGTGGGTAGTAAAACGCGCTGTTATTGGAGAATAGCCTACAATAACAAAAAGCTGGAGGAGGGAAGTCTGCCTGTACTGTACTGCCCGCCACCCACCCCACCCCCCAAGCACACCATGTTCTCCATTATTCCCGCCACAACACCCACCCCTTCCGTCTAGAAGGACATCCGCCTTTGGTGAACTCTTCCTCTTGCGTAAACTCTATAAAGCATTCCGGTAAAGCTGAAATGCAGAAGAATGCGGGGAAGAAGAAAACGGAAATCGCTATGCTTTAACATGCTGACTTCCGTTTTCTTCTTCCCCGTATTCTTCTGCATTTCAGCTTTACCGGAATGCTTTATTATCATGAAGATGCTCTACCCGCATTTCTTTCCGCATCAGTAGTACATGGTGGGTGTTGTAAGCCGTACTTTTAGTTGGTTCCGCATGCAGGCGTGCCTTGTGAATTTACCCACCGACTCTTACCTCGTCGCTCATGGCCCCGTGCGATTACTGCGTACCCACACCAGTATAACCAGCAAAAAGCATACAGCTTAAAAAAAAACACCCTGTACTTGCCGTTACAATAACACAGGTACATTTCTGAATTGTTTGTTTTTGCAGAGCTACCCGAACGAGGCTCACGCGTTGGCGGGCGTGAAGCGACACGTGTACCACACCATGGACGACTTCTGGACGCGGGCCTTCAAGCTGCCGACGCCTGAGTGGCAGAACCGGGCTTGAGTAGTTCCTCCCCCTATTCCCCGCAATCTCTCTATCCCCCCTCCCGTCCTCTTTCTGCCACTGCAGAAAAATATATAAGAAAATGAAGCAAACTCTGCTCTGTGCTTTTTAACGTTTCAACCGTTTCAACGCATGCACACACGGGGTCTTTTTTGTCATGTACCGTCACCAGTTTTGGCTGTAAAATTGGAAACAATGAATCTGACTGGGACCGTTGATATGATAAACACCAGTATATTTCTGTACAGTGAGCGTCCCCCCCCCCCTTCTTCATGTTCCCTCTTCATCCCCTGCAGCCCTTATTTGCAGAAGCATGTCATGAAGCCGAGTCAGTCTCCACGGGCTGCGTCGCGCTCTCTCCCGCGCCAGGGCCCCGGCGGCGGTCCAGCGGATGCGATCTGAACGCCACCCGAACGAGTCAACAGAAGCCGGAACCTCACCTCGCACCCCGTATTTATCCGTAGCCCCTCTCCTCGCGGGGGCCGGGGGCCGTGCCAAGAGAAAACGAGCTCGATTTTTCCCCACCCTATGCGCCGCCGCCGATCCGGAGAGAGGAAGAAGGGGGTGGAATTGGGCACTACCCCCCTCTCCCCTCAGCTCTCTCTCTGATGCATAACAAAACGCCCGATTCGCCTGATGGGTAGGCAAAAAACAAGCCTTCGCCCTTTAGTTTGAGAGGGCAAAAAGCGTGGCTAAGAGTGGTCTGGATCCACGCTACCGCCTCCCTCTCGCCCCTTCCTTCCCATGACTTTCCACACTGTGAAGCTAACATCAACGTAAATAATTTAT